TGCGGATACATGCTATTTCTGAACTGGCTTTAACAAACATGCTGTAATATCTTTAAGTAAATGAATGGTATATGTTCATTTAACTATCATAATCAGTTTAAAACGCTAAACCAATCTGAAAAGAAGCTCGTAATGAACATGTTCCAAGACTCTAAAATAATATCTGCTGATCAGTCCTTACTAACTGAAGCGTAAAGCTCTATCGCTACCAAGTGATGAACCGTTTCATGGGTCATACAGACACAGAGGCCAGGACGGCCCTGTCTATAAATAATGAATACCATTCAAATCACACACACCGTTTAGCCTAGCTAAAGTATGTGTCTCATTTATTTTATTACCTTATTGCCAACCAATAATCATAAGATAGAAGCTGCTCTGGATGACTCAGATCAGGGGTTCTCAATCTTATTCGTTCAAAAGTTTGAGGTCAAGATGTTTTTTGAAAGAAATTCATATTTTTTTTCAGCATTAAATTGATGAAAAGTCACAAATATTTTGTAACATTATAAATGTCTTTACTATTTCAAATAAATGCTGTACTTTGAAATATCTACACATCCAAGGATACCAAAAAAAAAGTATATCAGTTTCAACATTGATAATCAGAAATGTTGGTAATACTTTACAATAAGGTTTACAGATTTGGCAAACGCTCCAGTGCGTATTTGTGTTCGCTCTTTGGAGAATGTCAAATGTTTCTATTTACAACGTGATTTTGCAGCGGTGAGCAATGTAGCCAATCACAGACATTTTTTTTGCTCACTTGAAGGCAATGGCCAATCAGGGGTGTTTAATTTAGTCAGAATCCACAGAGTCATGAAACCTCTCATTAACAAAGTGTAGACAAGATGCAAGTAAAAGATTCATAGTGCAGTGTAGACAGCTTAATTGATTAGAACGGAAGTTTGTGGGATCGCAATGAACTAACATGAGTGACAGCTTTTTAATGATTATAAAGGGAACGGTCTTTGCATGCTTTCTAGGCTATATGATTAATTTAGAATTTGAATTAAAGTTTTGTTTTTCATGCTGCTAACATGGCAACTACCACGGAAATGACTACCACATATAAATGCAGGATTCACTCTCGAAATTGCAATGGATGACATAGTGATAACCAAAAATATGGCATGTCAAAATAGATACGCATTAAGGAAAGTAAATGCTTACTAATAAATGAACAAAAAAAAAATTCAAATTTTTGTATTCATATTTTTTTCAATTCTATTCTAATCATTTGTAAAAGTAATGACTTGTAAATAATCTTAAATGTCTCACTGCACATTGCTATTCTTGTTATGGTGGAGCCATTTCTAACTCATTACATCTGCACTCTCACTAATTTTAGAAGCTGTGATTTGATTCTGGAACTGGGCCTGTCTAGGTTGAGAAGAGAACCTCAGTTTTAAATATAATATTGCATCAAGCAGGTGGAGGAAGAGCAACAGCCCTCGGATGATTGACGGAGATTATGCAGCGATGAAGATGATCTGCAAGGGCCGCCTGCAACAGCACCATTTTGCCAGAGAACTACGCAGAATAAAGTGCGACAGCTCGTCTGTCAGAGTGGAGCCTCTGACTTTCACCGTACCCTTGCCGGCAGGTTTGCGCAGGAGTTAACTGACTGACAGTCGGCACGCAAACACATCTCATCCTCCGCCTAGCAGCAAATGTATGCACAGCAGGGGTGTATAAATTGTGCTGCGCAATGGAGATCAGTTGGGTAATAGATGATGAGGTTCTCGGAAAAGGTCATCCTTAAATGTCAGTGCTCTGTCTCAATGGCTTTCTCACTTCTGTCACAACGCAACCATAGAGCGACTCCATCAGTCACAAAAGAGTGCAACTGCGCCATCAGCTGAAGACGCTAGCCATGGGGGGTGGGAGGGTGGTAAAATAACTACACTGGCCTAATAAACTTGGTCCAGTGGGCCACGTCCTTACCTAATCACATTCCTCTCCAAAACACACAGTATAACCCAAGCTTTCAATGTTCAAATGAAAATTAAGCCTCGTGTATGACTTCTTCGAACTATGGTCATGAACTGTTTAAAAGTCTGTAGATGCCATCAGCTGAGAGTTATTTCTCATGTAGCTCTCGTTTTAAACTCAGAGCTCGCTCCAAACAAGCCTGGTATAATTCACACACATTAAACAGCAACGAGATGCAGAGAGCTATGTTTTTTCAGGCTAAGTTGGTTTCTTTAGCCGAGTGCTAATCAGAATCAAACACGTCTGATTGGGTGGAGAGGCATGACTGATTGGCTCACGCTCTGTCGACTGCGCTCCTTCAAACCGTGCGCTGAGCCACTTTTACGCCTGTCTGCCAATTACACCGGGGTGGATAGCTGTCTGCCGGAGAGCAGGTGTCAATGGAGCAAACTCGAGTATGTGCACGAGTCAAAATATGCAGAAAACGCATGCGCATCAGCAAAAAGGTGTGTACACACTATGTCAGTGCACTGTAATATAATCTTTCAATAACTTTTATTTTGTCAGATAAACTCGATTCTAAAAGGTTGAATTAATTATCAAATCAGAAAATGCACAAAAAATGTCAAGTAAATTTGAACTGCATTTAGTATAAGCAACTTAATTAGAATATTAAACTTACACTGTCAAGTTTGGAGGTGAGGCTGCAAATATATATAAATATAATATGTAAATATATATATATATATATTTTTTTTTTAACAGAGCAAGGGAAGTAATTTGTAGGAGGAAAATCCGTGGTCACAGTTTTGCAATTCAGTTTATAAACCGTACTCACAGATTCTTAAATTGTTCCCTCGGTTTATCAAATTGTGCCCACGGATTAATAAACTGTACCCAAGAATTTCCAACTTGTGCGCTCAGATTTGTAAACAGTACTTTCGGTTGTTCAATCTGTACCAACAAATTCATAATCCATGCCCACGCTTTCGCAATCCGTTCCTACAGTTTTGCAAACTATACTCACGATTTGTGGTTTGCTGTAGGTTTACATAGTAATATGGTAGTAAAATAATAATAATAATTCATGATTTTTCCTGGGTCAAAAATGGTCTCTGGTGGTGGTGGACGAACACGGTCATTCACACACACAGCAAGTACCCTTCCCATATGAACTACGAGCCCAGTACTGACAATAAATCCAAAATACATGCAAAGAAACAGTTTATAATATTAACTTATCATATTTATTCATAAAATAAAAATAATCACCATCAGGACAGGTTATAAAACAAAGTACTTAGAACTGTTTTATATATTAAAATCTGTACATTTAAATGTAAAAAGTCACTGAGTGAATGATTTCAAAAGTGAACAACAAAGTAACACATTACATAGAAAAAGTGCCAGGTCTATTATTTTGCATTCACACTTCAGGACTTAATGCACAGATAATTTGACAGAGTATCAGATTGTTTTGTTCCGTCCATTGCTATGGTTGTCTATCGGATTCAATCGCGTATTTAAATATGGTTGTCATTCCAGAAACTTTGCAATGTGTAGTTATCCACCCCGTCCCCACTATAGCTAAGAATTTAAGCATGCAGTTAAGACAGCTGTATTCAATTTAATAATACACAATGAAACGATATACAAAAAGATTCATTAACAGAAGAGTTAACGAATCGGGAGCTTGTTCTGTTCTTGTGTCGGTAGACTACAGATTCCTAAAATGAGGGACAGAAAACAAATCTTTGCAAAACTATGGGAACGGATTGCGAAAGCATGGGCACGGATTATGAATTTGTGGGTATGGATAAAAAATAAAAATAAAAATGAAAATACGGTTTACAAATCTAAATGCACGGTTTGGAAATTCAAGGTACGGTTTATTAATCCGCCGGCGTGATTTGTTAAACTGAGGGAACAATTAAAAAATGTGTAAGTACAGTTTATAAACAGAGAGGAAAAATTGCAAAACTATGACCACGGATTTGTTTTTTTTCTCCAACAGGTGACTTGCCGGGCGGGCTCTGTAGTTTTTGGTCAAAGCATGGGGACTTAACCTAATGCTCAGCTTAATGTAAAATGCTAGCTTATTGAACTTGGATCCACAAGTAAAAAACATTATTATTTTTTGAGTTTAACTTCTTACATTATGTTTGACCAACTCTAATTAAGTTGGTACAAAAAATTCCATAAATTGAGTATACTCAAAGTCAAGCTGGTTACCTAGAGTTTTCTCAATTTCTGATTTTTTACAGTGTGTGAATGTGTGTAAATAAACTTGGCACCTGCTATGGAATCACTTTCTGATGGCCAATTAGCCAAGGCCATCATTTCCCATTGTGCTAAAGGCCAGACGTCAGCGAGAAGGCTGAGGGCTGTTCCTCCCTGCTGTTTATTTATTTAAGTATCCTTGCATCTTACAGACAAAGTCAGATTGATAGATTAAGCTATCCAGCCTCCGGATCAATAGTCACAGAGGAACGAAGAAGCGACTTGGAACTGTTTAATGTGCACACACTGTGTTTTCTAGTCAAAGGCGAAGAAAATCCGAATGACGGAAAGCGGCATTAACGACCAAGAGCACCGACGATTAAATGTGAAAACCCGACAAACCATGAGAAAAGAAAAGGCTCCCACGTGTAAGTCTGTTTGTAATGGTGTTTTGTGTGTGGGGGGTTGAAGGGGGGTTAGCGAAACAAATACAGCAGCTACGGTAAAGTACAAATGGCAACGCGAGCAGAAGCCGGCCCCTGCGCCCTGATCTGTTACCAGTTTCACCGACCATAATCATGACATTAACTAAATCAAGAAAACGGGGGAAATAAATGGTCTCGGACCAATGGGTAGTGGGCCAACTTCTGCCAGCGCCATAAATCACATCTACAACAGGAAAGGAGGGGAAGAAAGCAGGAGCCTTGAGTCCTGTCCTTTCCTTCTAACTAAAGACTGTGTGTATTTGTGAGTGTATATGTGTGAGAGAGAGGACAGAGGCGGCTAGAGTTAAGAGCAGCATGAAGAGAGCAGCCGTCACACAGATCTACGGCCAGAGCGTTTACCTGGCTCTGTGCTCTGAGGGTATGCTGCGTAGCCGCCTCTTCCACGGGCCCCCCTACCTGAGCCACGCGCTGCCGCCACTGCTGCCGCCGCCGCTACGGGACCGTACGCTGTTGCCGGGAAGCCTGTGCGAGGGGTGGGGGTGGGGGTGGGGTTGAGGAAAGAGGATAGTGGAGAAGGCAGAGAGAATGAGAGTACAAAAAGAAGGAAAGGGGACAGGAAATGAGGAGGAATAATGAAATTAGAGGTGAGGAACAGGATGGAAAAAGGGAGTAGTGAAAGAATGAGAGGAATAGAGGAAAAAAGGGAAAATTGAGTAAAGTGAATAATAGTGAAAGAATAAGAGGAGAGTGGATAGTGGAGGAAAAGGCAGAGGGAATGAAAGTATAAAAGAAGGAAAGAAGACAGGAAATGAGGAGGAATAGTGAAATTAGAGGCGAGGAACAGGGCGAAAAAAGGGAGTCGTGAGGGAATGAGAGGAATAGAGAGTAAACAAAGAGGGAAAATGGTGTAAAATGAGTAATAGTGAAAGAATAAGAGGAGAGTGGATAGTGGAGGAGAAGGCAGAGGGAATGAGAGTATAAAAAGAAGGAAAGAGGACAGGAAATGGGGAGGAATAGTGAAATTAGAGGCGAGGAACAGGGCGAAAAAAGGGAGTCATGAGAGGAATAGAGAGTAAAAAAGGAGGTAATAGGGTGTAAAATCAGGAATAGTGAAAGAATAAGGGTGGAGAGGAAACGGTGGAAAAGGGGAAACGTAAAGGAATGAGAGGAGGTGGGATTAAAAATGAGGAATAGTAATAGAATAAGAGGAGAGAAAAGGAGAAAAATAGGGAACAGGGCAGAAAGTGAGGGAAGAGAGGAGAGAAACAAGAATAAAGGATGTAAAAGGAGAGTTGAGAACAAAAATAGGGAACATGGTGGAAAATGGGCATTAGTGAAGGAATGAAAGGAAAGGAAAAACGGAACAGGGTGAACAAAGTGTAAGTGAAGGTATGAGAGGAGAGGATAGAGTGGTAAACAGGAGTAGGTAAGGAACAAGAGGACAGCAGAAGAGGAAAGAGAAGGAACAGGGAGGAAAATGGGGAGTAGTGAAGGGAGGAGAGGGCAAAAAAAGGAGAGGGAAAATGAGAGGAGAGGATAAATTAGAAAAAAAAGCAGGATCAAGCTACCTCACAACATTACTGACTCATAAAGTTGCTGCAGTGTGCAGGTTCTGCAGGCTGCTGTAATACACCGTTTACTGTGGGCGTCTTCCAAATGCGGAGGAGACTGCAGTGGCCCTAATGCACTCTGGGTATTTCTGCATGGGTGACCACACTGCTCCTTAGCTTATCTGTTTGGAGCACACAGCAGGAGGGCCACGGCCGAGCATCAGACTTAAGGATATGCCACTGAGCTTGTGCAGTCAAGTTACTGTGATAAACTAATTAGATTTCGGTTATAATACAAATTTAAACGGACTTGAATGCTTTAATTGTGGAAATAGAACACTGCAGTACACCGTTATTCAAGAACCTAACATTAGCCTGAAGAAAAGAAAAAAAATCACTTTAGACTGAAATACATCAATAATGTAATTTAAATAATTTAAATAAAAACATGCTTAAGGTAAAGTGTAAAAAAACAAAATCATACAAAAATACTTTAATTTTTATAAAAATATGTGACTGATGAAAATGAAAAGTATTTTTAAGCCAAAAAAGAATAAAAAAGTGAGCCAACATTTTAATTATTTTTTTTACATTGGCCTAATTTCATAACATTTAGTCATTTAGTAATTTTTTTGTCTTTAGCATCACAACACACACTAGACATTCATTCATCAAGCAAATGAGCATTTTCTACTCATGCAGCTTTATCTTCCATAACACCTCGTACAAATCACAAATTCACGGTCTTTGAAGAGCTGAAAAGAGACACGAGACCAGGGGCGAGTCAGAAACCACAGCTCGACTTCCATAAAGGTAGAGAGGAATGAAATCCGGCAAGAGCCAAAAAGATGATCCAGCGCAACACTATAGGGTTAACTCCAACCATGACCGGCATCTGCAGCACAAAGGCGATATGGAAATGGCTCCACGCTCCCAACACTTTGTAGTCCACTTAAGTCACTTATCTCTGCGCTGCCGCTCATGTTTGGGCGGGAGAACGAGGGAGCGAGACAGAGACGGAGAGTCGTAAAGCCGAGCAGGCGAATCGTCCTCCGGTTTATGCCTTGAAACTCAATCAATCAGGAGGATAATTTGGTCTCCAGGCAGTGTGAACTGATGCTACAGCCACACCGGGCCCCTGGTGCTGCACGGGCACCGTGATTTGTGAGCAGGGCTGGATGAAAGAGTCTTCATCTCCTTCCCGGTTTAGTGGCTCTTTATGGTGTTATTACGAGATTAGGCATCAGGGATTAATTGCTCGCTTCCAAGTGCCCTTTAATTCACTTTAAGTGCATTACACAGGGGAAAGTAACAGGTACTGTATGGCATGGCAGCAAGGGAGAGGAAGTGATGCATGTGTGAAAGTAAACCGAGGGGGGGAGGGTGTTGAAATTGTATATGATGTGTGGATTGTGTGTAGGGGTGTAACGGTTCAGTACATTTTCGATACAGCAAAAAGAAAGAAATGCCAGAGAAATTTCCTACTTATTAAAAGAAAAAATATTTTTAAATAAGTTTGAGTTTTCCTACATCTTGAAACGTTCAGGTTTATAAATGGGGGTAATCTTTGAAGGATGAACAAATAATGTTTTGGTCATCACATTAAAAATAACATTTAAATATAGGCCTATATTTATATATATAATATTTAGATAATATTTGAGTTTTGAAGTGCTGGGAAAAGATGTGTGAAGTACTTGAAAACATTTCACTATTCCAGCCAAACTTCCATGGTTACAGTTAGTGTTACTATATTAAATCCATGGTGAATGTTGCTGATCTGTGGACTTAAAGCCTATAACTAGATCATCCACGGCACAATGTTTCTCCTGGTTTCCACGTCAGCGCTGTTTGATCTAATAGAGATCTACGGTTAATAATGGAGAAATGTGAATGCTTCTCACTAGATCTCGCAGCGATGTTATTACTTCAGTGGCGAATTCAAATGTTTTCTTCACTGGATCTCTTAGCGCTGTGTAGTAACAGTGTCGCTTGATCAAGATCGGCTCGCGCTGCACAGATGTTGCTGGTCCGAACTGATAAACGGTCCGTGAAGCACAATATAATGAGTAGCGCAGTTTCGTTCCGCTTTCATTACGTTTGCCATTTGATGTTGCGCAACGTTGTGGTGGTCGCGCCAGCGCAGATTTTGTCGGCAGGAAAAATGGTCCAAGGAATCGTTCGGTTTGTATGCGTACCGAACCGGAAGCCTCGTCCCGAAACGCTTCAATACGATTACATGTACCGTTACACCCCTAATTGTGTGAATATAATGCATTTAATACAAGATCTGGCAACTGATCAACATTAGACAAACATATTGGTCCGAATATTCATAAAGGAGTTTGGGCCATGCAAATTACGGGAGTTTCCCGGGAGAAATAACAAACCAGGAGGGGTCCGGGAGATAGGGCTAAAAAACGGCAGAAACCCGGGAAAAACGGGAGTGTTGACAGGTGTGTGTCTACAAGACATTGGCTTGATGGTTGTATGCATGACTACCTTCCACTAACAACAATAGCTCTGTTCCAAAGCCTAGAGAGCTGCCACTTTGCCTAAATAGCAAGCTGCCTTCTGAGGCAGCATTCTAACCATCATGGAAACTCATAAGTGACTGTTTTGGAACGCTCTACATAGGCAAAAACTCAATTAGCACATCTATAGAAATTCACAGTTGATTCCAAAGCCCCTTTCACACAGAGATTCCGGAAAATACTCTGATTGTGACGTGTAATGCACGCATCGAAAACACGTTCGCTAGTGTTGCACACTTAGAACTGAAGAGAGAGGCTGCCGGGACCGCGAGTAAAGGTGATGATACACAGGGCAACTTTTTGAGCAATGTTGCTGGGCAATGTTGCCGTCAATGGGCAACCAGATGAGACACAGGGCCCACGACCGATCTAAAGTATCCAGATAGACATGTATTGCCCATTTTCAATGGGAAAGTACCCAAGCAACAATCGCTCGTCAAGATTGCCCAGCAACATTGCTCAAAAAGTTGCCCTGTGTATCATCACCTTAAATGTCACATCCTTTAGATTTTCCCTGCAAAATCGTCCCGAGTCCTTCACATAAAATCAGTCGACAAACTTTTTTCTTTGTTAATGTGCAACGTGAACATTGATCTGCATTTAAAACCCCCAATCAAAGAGACGCACAATAACTACGTCATTGCGACAATATGTGTCATCCCTACGACACACTCTACGGCATTGGTCCTACCTTTTGTTCACACAGGGTATGTTCTGGGACTGATCCCAGCAATGTTACTAGGTCCCCCTCCCGTAATCGATCCTGGGATCAATCCTGGGATGTGTTTGCATTCACACAGAAGGCACTTTAGCAAATCTATGGCAATTTTTTTGGATCAATGCTCTGTGTGAAAGGGCTACAACAGAGTCTGATGTTAGCATGTTGCTAAGCTAATGTCACGGATACCAGGTAAAATAACTTGTTTTAATTACCCCACACTATTTTTTATCAATATTGAAATAAGTTATTTCTTACAATTTGAGAAAAGGAGGCATTTTAAAGAGGTAGTTCACCCAAAACAGAAAATGTTATCTTTTGTTCAGCCTCATATCGTTGGGAAGCTGTAAATGGATCACACATTTTGAAGAATGCTTCAAGTATTTTGTCCCTACAATAAAAACCAGCGGGGTCCAAAAATAACATTTGAGCCACTGACTATAGTGTATGGAAAAACAAAAAGCAAAACAACAAAACAAAACATGTGACACATTCTTTTGTATTCCACAGAAGAAAGTAAGTCATACAGCTTTGGAATGATGACATTTTTTTGGTAAACTATTCCTTTAAGGCTCATAATGCCTTAAGCAAGCAGCTCACTAGGTCTTCGAACTGAGCAAATGAGCACTATGGCACCATTGTACACGGCGGTAACATATCTTGTCTTCTGTATTTGTGTGTGCTTGGAAAAGAGAGCTAGAACATGAGAGCATGAGTGTA